TGAGGAAACATTTTATCAGAGAACCCCGAACTGACGATTCAATTATTTTTCAATAAAACATCAGGGGAATACGCAAACAGCTGCTCGCATCCTTCCACACAGCAAGTCAAACTTCAAGGGGAACAATAGCTGGGGAAAGGGGAGCCATGGCGGAGGCGGTGACAATGGGTTTCCTTACGCGGGGCTTTGTTTGATTTCCCCATCTCAGTTTTGAACTCCCTCCGCCGGAGAAAGGCGAGGGGGTAGGACAGGGAGAGTGGGAAGCAGGCAGAGGGGAAGGAGGGTCAGTGGGAGTTAAAGCCTTTTGCAGCCTTTCTCTCCCATTCATGTGGTAATTGAGTGTCAAGCAGAGATCAGTAAGATGGAGCCCGGCCTCTGTGCCCGGGTTAAACTGCAGCAGAAAGAAAGCGGGAGCTGAACCGATGGAGGCCTGAATGTCATTAGGGCGGGAGGAAGCGCCTCTCCCCCAGGAGCCCTTCTGCCGGGGTGCTGGGCTGGGGCGGCCGCTTCCCATTCAGGGCATCCCTGAAAGCGTCCAGACAAAGCGGGAGGGCATCCGAACAATGCTGCACCCCCGGCTCTACCTTCAATAGGCAGCTCTAAACAGGCGTTTAACCTTCAGAATAGCTGAAAGTGATACTCAAAGCCGAGGAGGTGGCTCACCCGCCCGTTAGCCTCTTCCTGCGGCCGAGCCGGAGGCCACTTGGATGGCCGGAGGCCAGGATGGAGGCTCTCGCCGCCCTCGCTTCCTCGGCCCCGTCGGCACAGCGCTGGGGGTGTTGTGGGCCCCTTGCGGGGTTGTGGGAGGTGTCACCTCCAGGGCAGGATCAGACCCCGGCTCCTGCTCAGCCTGACGAGATGCTGGCGTCCCCGGGGAGGGCTGGTCAGCACCCTCGAGGACGGGGCTAGAGGAAGGCAGGGCCATACTGAGGAGGGGGATGTGGTATGGTAAGGGTCATATTCCGCTTCACAAGCCTGGGATCGTTTGGCAAGGGATCTGGGGAGGTCTGGGCAACGACCCCACTCCCGAGCCGGGGGATATCCTGGACTCAGACAAAGTCGCCATCGCCTGCCCTTCCCGGGGTTGCCAGCCTGGACTGCATGACCCCAACTGCCCAAAGCTCTCCCAGAGCCTGGCCTGGCATCATTTGTGCCTATGGGAGGGATTTTTAATTAACCAGGAGAAAAGAGGGTCAAACCCCGGGTTATTTTGGAAGGTGGGATTTGCCACAGAAAAAGGCAGAGCAGGACCCATCCCCTGCTCCCTGAGTCTCACCCTGCTGCCCAGCCCAGCCATCCCGTGCCGTTCAGGAGCTAAGCAGCAAACAGCTCTAAAGACTTGGTTTTGCTTCCTTAGCAAGGCCTTTCTGCTTTAAGGAGGAAGGCTGCCATCCCTTTCCTCCGCACACACGACAACAAGGCACAAGTGCTTTCTGCAGACTATCATTTTGGTGGAATCCCCTGCAACACAGCCCCTTCAAACTGGCGGGGGAGAAGCCATCGCTGCCCCTGCTCCTGGGTACATTGGAACCACTCGGGGGAATCGCGTATTTCCATTTCTAAAGAGTTCACCAAAGGATAGGCCCTTTCTTTAGTCCAGAATATTTCCCTGTCACCGCTTAAAGGCAAAGCCAGCTCGCCAGCGTGCGGAGGCGCGGGTGGCTGTCATTGTTTGGGAAGACTCCAGCACGCCAAGAGTGGCAGGAGGAGGCTGGAGAGATGTGGCATTAAAGATTGTCAGAGACTTTCTCAGCAGCAGAAATTCATTTTACTCAGAAAGCTCCTGAGCAGTTTGCAAAGCCCCTGCCTGCATTTAGGCTAAAATACGCTGCAGTGTTGCAGACCAAGCGTGGCTTGGCTGAACTGGACCTGGAGGTGGAACGAGATGCTGATCAGAAAGTTGCAGCGTTATTTTTCTTAATATTATTGTCACTGGGATGCAGAGTCTGGGAGAAGCAGTCATCTCCATGGTGAAAAGTACATTTGGTTTGTAAAGCTCTTTGGCTTTGCTTAAATTAATAGGCTAATAATAACCCAGGAAAGGATTTTAATGTTTTCTTAACCTCATGCAAACAGCTTTTTAAGTATTTTAATTAAAAAAGAACAATACCTCATACTTTATATATAGTACTTTTATCTAGATGCAGCTGTTGAGCCAGACTTTAGCTTATTGATCAAAGGAGAGAGTAAGTCTCACAAGGTGTCTCTAATCATAGAAAGAGGATTCAATTAGCTTCTTCCTTAAAAACACCTACATAAAAAATAAATTTTACAAAATCAGAATAAGATTAAGCACTGGCTGCTTCTTTCCAAACACCTGTGTGCTGGAGGGATTTTGACCCAGCATTGATCCCAGGTTCAGAAACCACGCTTGCACTTGTATTCCTGGGCTGAGAGCTTTTCAGGGACACTTGCACCAAAGCTTCGTTTTTCCAGAGGGACTTTAAAAAGGTCCCGGGATTTCAACCCAAAGCTGACAGCCAACAGAAAAACTCTAACTGGTGTAGCTGGGTTTTGCAGGGAGTCTCAAAGCATTGCCAAGTGCAACACAATCCTCCTCAGTCAGGACAAACACAGCCCAAATGGTGAATTGTCCCCAGCCACCAGATCTCCAGCAGGGACCAGAGCCACTACTTTTAACCCTCCCAACACCGCAGTGCCATCAGCATGGCCAGGTGGGGTGGCTCCTTACAGCGTAACTCACCGCTACAAACACACCTTCATGGGTGTCCCCGCTCCCTGAGAAATCCCGCACGGAGGCTGCGTACGTGGTATGCGCACGCCCCAGCCGCCCGGCGCAGCACCGCGCTCCATGGTACCGCTGAGCTCTGCAGGTCCCCTCTATCGAAGGCCTGTGCATCAGTGCCCCCCGTGCGGTGTGCTGAGCTGTCTCCCAGTCGTTCAGCACCCCTCATCTCCCCAGAACAGGAGCCCTCACCTTGGGGGGGGCCCATCCTGCTCCTCTTGCCCGCAATCGTGCAACTATGGCCCTCCTCCCCGTCACGGCCGGCTGGGAGCGCAGGGCTCGGGCTGAGCTCCCTGCTATGCTCCGGCCAGATCCGAGCCCCCTGGTTATGTCGGCACTAGCAAGGGCTAAATCCTGCTCCTTGCACGGGCCTCGGCTGTGCATATAATCCCCATCCATCTCCAAAACCCAGCAATACAAGCAAGTCTCCACTTGGATGGGCTTACTTGCAAGTAAATAACAGCCACACTTCCATAAACTTCCGATGCTATTTGCATCTGCGTTTAACAGGCAGTGCCACGAATGCGGAATTTTCTTGGCTTTTTTAACCTCACCTGCTCTCAGGCAGACGGAAACACAGCGCTGAGCCTTGCCCTGCGGCCTCTCTTCCTTCAGAGTGGCATTGTGTGCAGGGCAGCACGGCTGTCTCTTCCCGAAGGAGAGGCAGCACTCTCATCTCCTCCCGTACCACTTCACACCATCCATCTCAAGAAAACGGCCCCCAGAGCTGACTTTGGGGAGGCCAAGCTTTCACCCATTGCCTTTAGCAGAGGGCTGGGTGAGGCTGGGAGGTTCAGGTCGCTGCCCACCACCTGCCTGGCACAACGGGGTGACCTCAGTGCTGCCGAAGTCTCCGCCAGGCACAGAGTCTGGTCAGGAGCCCGAGTGGAGGGGAACACCTGGGATTGCCGCTGGCCTCACGCTGGTCTGTACCCGAAACTTCCTCTCCACCTCAGACAGGGTCTGACCAGTCCCCTGCCTGGGTAACCCCCCTGCTCCCGGCACCCGGAGCCCCCCACCGCTTCCCAGGGCTCTGAACCCCCGGGGGCGGGGGGGAGCTGTGAGACCCCAGGGGAGCCCCTAAAGAGCCCCCTCCTGCCCTGAGGCGAGGCGTTTGCCGAGCCCAGTCCGCCCTCCACCGGCGGCTGCGAGAG